CTCCTTCAAAACTGAACAAGTAAACCTAATTAACCTACCCCTTAAATAAATAAATAAATAAAAAAGAAAGAAAAGGAAAAAGCGGCCAAAGGAGTGGATCTTGACTTTATATGCAACTAATTACAAATATACTTTTTTTTTTCCAGAGTCATTTTTCCCTCAAGAAGGGAGCTGCAGCCTTGGGCATTGGAACAGACAGCGTGATTCTGATTAAATGTGATGAAAGGTGAGCGTGAAGCTGCAACCCTTGTTGGTGAGCAATGTGCAAGTTATACACATACACCTTTAAGTCTGAAAACTGGCAATGATGTGGAGCAGGCAACCTGCCTCCCTCCCAGCTGTTGGCATTCACTACTTCTTTTTCACATGGGCTCTAGCTTGGAGTCCTAGGACCTTGTTCCTCAATGCCACAGAGGCATTCACAACCTTTGACTGAATCAGAACCTTTGTTAAATCAATCAAAATATTCTGCACCAAGAAGGTGCAGAAGGACGTCCATCACTTGGGCACTTAAGCAACAACCAGCAGGTTGAGCACTGATTTATAGCAGTGTCATCACTCCAGGTGCCATAGATGGCGTGAACTTGATGGAGCGATGACAGGAGGGGGACAGTTTAGTGAGCAGGTGGTAAATAATTTCCCCAGCAACTCATCGGCATTGTGCCTGAGCCAAAGAGCTTTCTTAGGGGAGCTTTGTGCCTGTCTTAAGTGGCACCCAAACTTCATAGGTACTCTGGAAAAAGGTGGAGCAGAGGTGAAAATATAAGAAATTAAATTTAGTCTTCAAAGGATTGAATAAGAAATTTCAATAAATTAAAAAGAAGCCACTCAAGTCACCATTTATTTATTCACATGAATCTATTAGACAGACATATATGATCACCCACCGTGTCACTAGCAAAGCACAAGGCAGAATCCCAGCCCCCGAATGCATGATCTGGGTGGGGAGACATAGGAGCATCGGAAGGACGGGGGCTGACCTGATGCACAGCGGTGGCGATGAAGTGCTGGAATTAATGGGAGTTACTGACTGACTGGTGTGCAGACTGAGAGAGGAGTCAAGGGGGAACGGCAGGCTCTGGCTCGCCAGCTAAGTCCATGTGGTGCTCCTCTCTGAGATCAGAAGCTACACCCAGGTGGAGAGTTCAGATTTGGAGAAGCTGAGTTTGAAGACCTTATATGTCCAAGTGAGGCTGTCAGGTAGGCAACTGAAAATATTAGCCTGGAGATCAGAAGGTAGACAAAGGGACCCATGGAGAGGGGGCCTAGGAAAGAACTCAGGAGCATGCACACTTCAGGGACATGAAGAGTCAGAGGAGCCTGCAGTGGGGGCTGAGAAGGAGCAGCCAGGGTTGTTGGAGGAGAATCAGGACCCAGGGCCACGAGGGCCATGAGAGCGTTTCTAGAAGGAGCAGTTAATAGCGTCAGACGAGATGCATGGAGGGTCACCAACTG